CCTCCACCGCTCACCCAAGCAGGTGTAATACCTTGTCTCTGCCGGGAGAAGTTGCTTTAAGGAGGACGACCGTTGTCAGACCCTTTCAGCCTCGGCAGTTAGTACCGCCCGAGAGTCTGGGAGATGCCACCCAAACAACTAACTTTTGCCAAACTCTGCCTTTCATAATCACCTTGGGGTCTCTGGATCAGAGACGAAGTGCATCTAGTCCAGCATCCTGTTCTGTAATACCTTGTCTCTGCCGGGAGAAGTTGCTTTAAGGAGGACGACCGTTGTCAGACCCTTTCAGCCTCGGCAGTTAGTACCGCCCGAGAGTCTGGGAGATGCCACCCAAACAACTAACTTTTGCCAAACTCTGCCTTTCATAATCACCTTGGGGTCTCTGGATCAGAGACGAAGTGCATCTAGTCCAGCATCCTGTTCTTCCCCCAAATAGAAGCCTCCATGGGCAACAAGCATGGCAAAAAGTGAAAAGCCTCTCCCATTACAGTACTTCCCAGTCACAGGGATTCAGTTAGCCCTCAGGACTGATCTCCCCGGAAGGGTCCCTTTTCCCAGAATCGACACGTGCCACACCTTAAAAACCATCTCAGTCTGTGCTGTCATGACATTCTGTGGCCACAAATTCTGTACAGGAGGGTTTTTTTTTCCTCCAGTTATGTGCAGTTCCCCACCTGCACTGCATCCTCCTGCAGGAAACCGCTCTTCACCTGTGGAGCTTGCCCTTAAGCTTCTGGACAGAAGAGCAACCTTCACACAGACCTTCTCCTTTGGCTGACTTTTAACCGTCATGGGTGGAGGGATGGTGGATCCTGCCTCTGTGGGATTTCATGATCCTGACCACGTGGTGATGTCCGTCCTGCTCTCCCTGGCCTACAAGATAAAAGAGAAACCGCGGGAAATAACCTTGAGGGCCTGAGAGAGCTGGGCCAACAGCACAAAGGGTCTTTGAATGCTCCTTTCTGGGACATTCCGCCTGAGGAGGAATCCTGTGTGACTTCAAAGCTTTCATACCAAAATTGCTCTAAATGTAAGAACTCAAACTGTCTGTTTTGTTTCCTCTTTTTGAACATCCCTCCTCACATTAAAAAGAGAGGTGTGTGGGTGTGTGGAGAGAATTCAGCCCAGCTAGGTGAATTATTTCAAAAAGCGAAACATGCCTCAAAGCCCTCCAGATGAGGCAAACTGCAATGTGAAATGAGCCTGTCCCTCAGTGTATGCTGTGGCCTACAAAATGAGGCCTCCTTCAAAATCCATGCACAAGTAGTGTACGTACAGTCCTTTGCTGTCAGTCCTATTGAAAGCAGTGTGAGTGAATCGGGTGTCTTTAGGGAGTTCCCTGATGCAAAGAAACCATACTTGGAAATGTCTCATTTTGATCAAGAGGATTTGCTTCCCACTAAAGGTTTTGGACTGGACTAGTGAGAAAGGAAAGGAGAGGAAAGAAAGGAAAGAAAGGAAAAAAGAAAAGAAGAGGAGGCAAGGAGAGGAAGTTGGGGGTTGGGTGGCTTGCTCCTTCTCTTTTGTCATTTCAGTTTAGTCTGCCAGGAGGTTAGTGTTTCAAAGTCGGTTGCCAGATGTCCTTTATCCTAAGATGTACTTCTTCTTTTAAAGGGCCTCTTTCTCCTAGCACATCCCTGCCCTGTGAACATTTGGCCCTCTCTTTTTCTCACAGTTCTCACCTATTTAGAAGGCAGCATTTGGTTGCGAGGTTAGACTCCTCGGCTTTAGTGTCCCTTCTTATTCCCTTCCCTCTCTATCAAACTGATCTGGTGATTCTGAGAAACCACTTTAAGAAGTGAAGTGGGAGGGTGAAATTGGGATGGAGAGAGAGTTGCTAGGGCCAGAAAGGAGACTGGGAGCACAGCTGGCCCGACCCATGGCTAGCCATTTTAGGAAAGGCCTGCCTTTCTCCATCTCCGTAGTCGATCCAGGCTTCTCTGTCTAGCCGGCTTCTGGTGAGTCTGTCCCTTCTGAATCCATCTTGCTGGAGGCCTTTTATTTTAGGAGGAGTAACTAAGGGGACTTCAATATGGTAGCCATGGTCTTCCTCCCCTTACTTAAAATCGGGGGGGGGGAGAAAGGAGGAGTGGTCCCCAAACCCCCATGGTTGGTCTTTCCTGATTTTGAAATGGCTGCCCACTGTGGAGAGGGGGATTTCCGACCCCCTATGAGAATCGGTGCTGTTACAGCAGTGCTTGGGAGGGCGTAAAGGTGTCCCCTTTGGCGGCCGCCCTCCAAGCCTGCGCCTCTCTTCCTTGATGAGACCAAACCAGAGAACCTTCTTGGGCTTTGGCAGGCACCGATCGGTTCTTCCAATTAAATTCGATGATTTACAGCTCTCCTGCCTGGAACTGGAACTTTCTTAGCCCTTTGAGAATCCCAGAGTTGAGCCGCAACCTTGGGACCTTCCTTTTCTCCAGAGCAGAGGAAGATCGAAGCCGATTCTCATTTTATAGGCTGCCGGGAGAGGGGGCAGGACAGGACTTTCCTAGGAAGTTTGGCTACGGAGAGGGGAGGCGGACGGGGAGGAATTAATTTTTTAAAAAAGCGAGCGAGCGAGAGAGAGAAGAATTTGGCGAAAGTGTCACTTGGCTTCTCCAGTTCCTAATTAGCCTCTCGCTGTTTGTCTCTGAAGCAGCAACCGTCCCTCTCATTTATAGAGAGCGCTCACGGTGCTGATCGTGGAGGTCCTTTTCTCACCCAGATCCACTTCCCTTTGAATGCTAGACTACAAGTTTTTGAAAAGTCTGAAATGGGGGTGGGGTTGGTTGTGAAGAAGGCTCACTGCCCGATTGATGGAAGAGATTCAAAGCCGCTCAAGGTGGTGGTGGTGGTGGTGGTGGGAGGGTTATTAATTGTTAAAGTGCCCGTGGAGGTTCCACAAAGACCCGAATCGTCGCGTAGCACTGCAGACAGATCGGGCGGAGTGTAAATGGCTTGATTCCAACTGGGTGATAATCGCGATACCCGTTTGTACATTTTTCAAATGGCCCCCGAAGTCTTCCGCAGGCCCAGAATGTCAAAAGCAACTCTCCCTCCGCCTTCCGCCTTCACACTCCACATCACGCCACCGCACCCTGAACGCTATCAAGCGTTGTAAATCAACCGGCCAACCTCCTCCTCCTCCTCCTCTTCTTCTTTCTCTCCTTTTTTTTTTTTCCCGACAGGAGAGAACTGCGAGGATAAAAGCCCCCCGGGCCCTGCTTCCAAACGGGTCCGCACCGCCTATACCAGCGCGCAGCTGGTGGAGCTGGAGAAGGAGTTCCACTTCAACCGCTATCTCTGCCGTCCCCGCCGCGTCGAGATGGCCAACCTGCTGAACCTGACCGAGCGTCAGATCAAGATCTGGTTTCAGAACCGGCGGATGAAGTACAAAAAGGATCAGAAAGCCAAAGGGATTATGCACTCCCCGGTAGGCCAGTCCCCCGACCGGAGCCCGCCGTTGAGCGGCCCCAACCACGTCGGCTACTCCGGCCAGCTGCCCACCGTCGGGGGCCTGAGCTACGACGCGCCCTCGCCCACTTCTTCCTTCGCCAAGACGCAGCCCAACATGTACGGCCTGGCGGCTTACACGGCCCCGCTCAGCAGCTGCTTGCCCCAGCAGAAAAGGTACCCGGGCTCGGTATCCGAGTACGAGCATCACGCCATGCAAAGCAACGGCGGCTTCGCCAACCCCAGTTTGCAGGGCAGCCCCGTGTACGTCGGGGGGAACTTTGTGGACTCCATGCCAGCCTCCGGCCCGATGTTCAACATCGGCCATCTTTCGCATCCTTCATCGGCCAGCGTGGACTACAGCTGCGCGGCTCAGATCCCCGGCAACCATCACCATGGACCTTGTGACCCCCATCCCACATACACAGATCTGACTTCGCATCACACAACTCAGGGAAGGATTCAGGAAGCCCCCAAACTAACGCATCTGTAGTGGACTGGAACGGATTTGGAAAGAGAGAGAAAGAGAGAGAGAGATTGAGAGATTGACAGAGAGATGAAATGAAATAGGATGAAATGAAATGTACTGATGTTTAAATTACCTCACTTTCCCCCCATGTTACAGTACAGTTATTTTGAATACCCTATATATTGGTGGATTTTTTATTGGTTTCTCTCCACCCCACAAGCAGCTATGTTATCTTTTTTTACTCCTTCAGAGATTCCTAAATCCCTGAAAATCATTTTAGTTTTTTTCATTGTTTTTAAACAGTTTAAAAGCATGACAGTGCAATATCGTTTTTTTAAAAAATTTAAAACATCCCCACAAGAGAGTAATAATTGATAATGATTTACTGGAAGGTAAGCTTTAGAGACCCCGAAATATTAGCAGAAGGTGAGTCCTGAGGAGGAGTTTACCATAGTTGGGACCAAAACAGGAACTTATTTTGGATTGATTAATTTATAGGCTTTTTCAGCAATGTGAAAGATTTGGTTTGGACTTAAATAAGATGTATTTATTATTTTAACAGGAACTTCTTTTTTGTATCATTGATTATTTAACCCTGGTCTTCAATGTATTTATGTGGATATTTGTAGAAGGTTTTTTCCCCCAATGCCTTCCTTCCACCCTAACCCTTCCCCAAACTTTGGGAGATTGATTCAGGTCTTTGGTGACTGACTATACATTTTCACCTATTTAGTATATTTGGTCTGAAATAGAAAGAGTAGTTTTGAACAGTTGTAACAGTGGCTGGTGTTTGTAGTTTATGTAAGGAATAAGCAAATTGTAAGTCAAATCATAGATTAATACAAAATGAAACATTACCACAAAGAGTTGTTAGTTTTTAAAAGCAAAAGCATTGCCTCAGAATGGACACTTTAATTTATTTCAGAGTGTTTGGTATAATTTAACTTCGAATTGAAAATAACGCACGTACATACAAACCCCTGATCAGCAGTGTTGTTTTCTTGCCTGTGTTGTATCCATAAGGCTGTTTGGGTTTTGGCTAACTTTGACAAACATAAAGTCTGCCAAGGTGGTAATATAACAGTGCAGTTCTATGCATGTCTACTCAGAAGTGAGACTAACCAAGTTAGATGGGACTCACTGTCAAGTAGGTGTAATATTGCAGGCTTACTGTCTGTCGCACAAGTCATTTTGTCTGGTTGTTGTTATTTTTTTCTGAAAAACAAATAAGCAAAAACTTCAGATAGAAGATTAGAGACAATGTAATATTGTTGATGTATCTAAGATTTCCACACCAATGCAGGCTTAAAAAAAAAAGAGTCAATTTCAGTTGTTCTTGATATTACTGTTATACTTGTTATTGTTCTTATTGTCATTATTATTATTATTATTTATATATTTATGCTAATCATAAATGAATTTTCTACATGTCACTGAAACTCGCTTACTTTTGCTGAATAAGGAGGGAAATAGAAAAAAAACTTTGAATGAAAATTTGACAATCACAGAGGAAAGACTGTGTTAGGGGGCAGGAGAATAAATCCATCTGAAATGTTCAGAATGGCTTTCAAGGTAGGAAATGACTAGATCTATCAATATTTAATATAGTTTTCTGTAGCAGACATTGGTACAACCCTTGTGTAAACAAATGTTTCCGCCGAGGGCTTAAAAGGAACAAGAAAAACAAACATCCTTCTTTTCCCCACCCACTTTTCCTCTTTATTTATATGTTCAGTTTAATCTCTTACTGTCTTTATAAAGCTTTTCTCAACGTAAAAGTGGCATTAGTTACATGTTAGAAGCGATACATGCCCATTAATTCAAGAAGTGTTCCTTATCGCTTCGAAAAGCCTTCAGTTAAGATTCAGATCTTCTGAAATCCCACAACAGAACTGTAGCAAAACCCCACTTTTCAGTTTGACTAATAATACTACTCCATCTCTCCCGCATTTTTATTTATTTTATTGTTTTGTGTAAGAGGTTTTTATTCCTACAATGATGGCTAAAGCAAAGTAAGGAGATTTCATTCAGATATTTATATGCATATGAATGAAATATCATTACTTCCCCTCATTACTGATTATTTTTTATTCTTTACATGTCATGTTAGTAATGAGAAAAGGTGGAAAATGTATCCTTTTGTTAAATTTCTCTTTTACCCAAGTGTTGTAGATCTGTAAACACAACAGAATAAACAGCTTCAAATGAAGAAATATTTTAACCACTCTTGGATCTAATATGGCTTTCTATGACAGTTTTTCTTCCAGCTTTTTTTGTTTTTAACTCACAATAAAATAACAAATAATATGCACAGCTGGTGAGTTATAATAACAGCAAAAATTATTTCTAACAAGTCTTTTGAAAAATACCCAGCAATAGAACTGACTGTTCAGATTTCCTTTTATACTCCTTGTGTGAGGGCATATTTCATTTTCCACGGGAATAAATCAAAGCAATGCCTAAGGAGTCCTGCCTTGTAGGCCCTTTATGGTAAGCAATGTCACTCAATAGGCGTCTGCTGACTCTGCGGGACTCAGAGGTCCAAGTGTTATCCACAGTTTAATGTTTTATAGGCTTGAATTAAAATGGTGTCTAGGCTGTCTTGTATTATTATTCTTTCTTAAAGCCAGGCAAAGGGGACACAATAATGTATAACCATTCTGGGGAAAGAAGAAAGAAAGAACTTGGAATTTGTTTTGCAATCTGTTTTCTTTTTAAATGCTACAAGACACTGGATTGGTGGAGTCATACGTTTAATTTCCATATTTTAACATTGCATTGTCAACGCTTGCAAACCTGGGCTCCTGTTGCAGACATTATCATAGCAGCCCTGCGTAACATGTGTTCATTCCTTCCTTCCTTTACTAAATGAATGAATGGTGATTGTGTACGTGGCTGTGGATAGAATAAGCTTGTAAAGCATGGAGCAAGCCTCTCTGAGACTAACCCCAACACTAGAAGCAAATGTCTGTGCTCCACTCCTGGCTTTTTGCCTTCCTACAAAAGGACAGCCACAGAGACGCTCCAAGGCTAAGCAAACTGCTTGGCAAGAAATCCCCACTGATTCCGCTGCAGGTTACTTTCTGGTAGACAGCTGTGAGGATCTGTGTCTCAAGGAGAAAGGGACAAAAATAGAGAAGTGGGTGTGTATTTCATTGGTGTTAATGGCAACTCTGTCGGGTTTTAATGTGACTGCTTTACGCCTTAAAGACATTTCTGGCACAAGGTTTTCTTGGCTTTGGCCTGTCCTTCAGATCCTCATAAATTATAAACAGCTCATTTTTATGCGGAACATAAATTCTGCTTCATTGGGCTTCCCAAACTATTGGCTGATCTGAATAAAGTGGAATGTGTTGTAAGGCGGTCCAATATTTTTCACTCCCACTTACACACTTTGTTAAGAGTTGGCAGCTCTTTCCCCATGGCTTTTCTACAGCAGTAAGAGAGAAGCTGGAAAATAGTAGGGTTGGAACCTTCATATTAACTTAACTTGGTCTTATTCCAGGCCTTTGCAATAACTGACTGATTCTGAAAATGTGCTTTTTGAAGAAGCCACTATACCCCTCTCAATGGGTCTCCACAGGGAGAGTGAGGGAGTTTTGCCCACCCCCATCTTAAATGAATTTATTATTTTAAGGTATACAGGCAGACACATTGGTTGAAATCCAAGTAGTAAATCATAACTGGAGCAGGCCTGTTAAATCAATGGAACTTACACCAAATCCCCACTGATTCAACAGACCTTCCCTAGTTGTGACTTACTGCTGGATGCAGCCAAATATCCCAGAGAATTATGTTAACATGCTAGTATGCAGCTTCCCCACAACCCTTGGAAAATTTCCTGTGGACAGTCTTGCCTCCCTTGCATCTTTGGAAGGTTAAGGACAAACAGAAAGGGGAGGCCCTTTCATGTAACTGTTTCAAGCCTATTTTTTAAACCTTTTGTTTTGGAAGCAGGAGAGATGCTAAATGTGTCCATTGTTTTTTCTCTATGAGTTTATTTCATGACAGATTTATTTTTAATTAAGGAAGGAAGGAAGGAATTGCCTACTCTGTCCCACAGTCTCAAGTGGAACTTTGTTACTGATTTCTATTGTTTTCAATGGCATATGGGATGAAATTGAGAAATGTAGAAGAGAAATTATATTTTCCTCATGATTATGGCCTAACCCTACTTTCCAGAAAGCAAGTCTCTTTCAGTGAAATCAGTTGGGCTTACTTCTAAGTAAACGTGTTTACAATCAGAACCCTCCCCAACTCAGGAAAGGAAGCCCAAGCATTTCTTCCCAGCTGCCGCCCCCTTGTCTCTTGGCCTGCATATTGTCTAACCACTGCCTAGCATCTCTCTCCACCCCCATCATTTTCTGCAAGCTCTCCACCCCCATCTTGCAATTCACCTAACAATGAAAACGCTGAAGGATAATAACGGAGTAGAGGCGCTAATATCAGCAATAGATTGCAAAAGCAGTGATAATTCTGCTGGAATAAAACACATTCCATGCTCAATACTGAGATCATGCCATCACATATCAACCAAAAAGCACAAAAAAATGAGAGGGAGACACATATGCACAAAAAACTCTTAAGCTTTATAAAATATTATTTCTTCTTCATCAGAAGAGATTTTAGAAGGAAGAGGGGAGGGAAAGAAGTGGAATACAGGTCTGGTCCTTGTCTAGTTTTTGTTTCAGGATGTAAGGTAGGAGGAATGCTGCAGACAAAGAAGTGAGTCTCACCACTAGCTATTTGCAAGTGTGCTGGCTCTTCTACAAAAGGAAAGCACACACTGGGAACCAAGAGCCTTGTGAAAAAGGGCGGGGGGGGGGGCGGCGGCGCTGCAAAGCCTGATGCTTATGCCAAAATGTCTTTGGGGTTTCCCAAGGCTCTGGCTTGAATCCTGCTGGTAGTCACTCTAGAACAGACATTTCCAATCCTTTTTGGCTACTCTTTCAGGAGTTTTTTTTCAGGTTCCAGAGCCTGTCAAACAAGAATAACATGAAGAGAAATCTTTCAGAAACTTCCCACATCTTTCAATCTGTGCCCCCCCCTTCAAATGTGCCATAGCTCCCCCCCCTCCGTCGTATGGCCCCAGTTGAGAATGGCTGGTCTAGAAGACAGGAGTCCCTTAAATAAATGAAAGGTCCAGAATTGCTAACTCTCATTTTAGCAGTAAATTCAGCGAGTCTACCTCACTTGGGACCACGGATCAGCTTGAGACCTGACTTTTGCTGCGCGTACTTAGAAGTCTGCCCCTCCCGAAATTAGGCATGCAGGGCTCCCTTGTTCCCCAAAGTATTTGGTTTGTATCGTGGAAGGACGAGAAGCTAAGTTTTGAAGATGGCGATTGTGGAGGAGTCATCTGCCCCGTGGAAAAATATTGCAGGGTTCCCCCGCTGACTGTGGGGCGATTAAAAACGGGGAGGAGGGGGGAGAAATAAACAGCCATGGGGGAAGAAGCATTTACTACAAACGAGATCGGGGTCCCACCGATCAGAAGCAGGTCTCTCAGACTGGGAGCCGAGCCTCCCAATTCGGAACTAACCCGCCCCCGGCCATCCCCATACCCACTCGGCGCACCAAGATGGCCGCCCGCCGCTGGAGGGACCGCGCTACCTCCACTCAGAGGGAAAGATAGCGCGAGGGGGTGGGGGCGCCTGGTCGGGCCTCCTTCCTCATTGGCTCGGAGTGAACCCCGTAGCTAAGCAACCGCCTCGGGACGATCGGGCGCCGCTCGGCGGGGTCACGCGCAAGGGCGGGGGGGGATGAGGAGGAGGAGGCACG